GGCCACGTCGAGGGCTCCCACCTTGACCCGCAGGGCAGTGGGAAGGCACCGGAGTTGGTCGAGGGGAGTGCCATGGTCCAATTCTAGTTTTCTTTAAAATCAGTCAGGTTACTGAGGGGAGATGGAAAGAAAAGGCCACAGAAGTGGAGTAGGAGAGACCAAATCACGTCTGGCAGGGTCCCTCCCGAGGTGGGAATTTGCATCACCCACCCTCCAGAGCCTCCTGCCACAAATGAGAGGGGAGACTGAGCCCGCCACCCCTGCCCCGCCCCCGCCAGAGCAGGGGACTGGGGGGCAGAGCCGGCCTGCGGGCTCTCCATCCGCTGCCTGAGCCGCAGCCCTCACCCTTGGGCCCAAGGCACACTGGGTCCCCCCAGGGCGGACCCTCTGGAGTCTAAGCCTGCAGGCCAGGGGCAAGCAGACCCTGCACGGCAAGGCGTCAGGGACATGTGAGAATCCCGCAGCTGGAATACAGGGATTCTGGACGGTTCGCAGAAAAACAGCTGCTCTAGAGATTCGGGCACAGGGGCTCTCCTCGGCTCAGGGTTCTCTGCCTCATCGACCTCTGCAGAGGGGGCTCTGGGAGGCGACCTGTGTATCTGACATAAAAAGGCAGCAGACAGACTGTAGAGGAGAGGGAAGGACCCACCGGCTGGCGACGAGGGCGCCTCAGGGTATCAGGGGACCCAGGGCGCCACGGGAGAACACCAAAGGGGACCAAGTTCAGCGGCTCAGAGAAAACAAACAGATCCCCAGGCAGGCACACGGGCAGGGGTGAGAAGGGGCTCCAGTTTCAAGGCTGGCACGGGAGCCGGCTCCCCAAGAGAAGAACTGGCAGACACTGTCTGACGCTGCCGTTCTGGGCCCTCGGGGACAGAGCAAGCCGGCCAGCCCGGGCTGCATTTCTCCACCAGGCCCCCGGGGAGGAGGTGGTGTCGCCCAGTCTGGGCAGGGCTCACCTGTGTAGGACACCTCCACGTCGGCCAGCGCCTTGAGTGTGTTCTCGTAGGATACGTCTTGGAGCTCCTGGGAGCCCACGCGGTCGTACACGCGCTTGGTCTCCTCGATGAGCTCGGTGGTGAGCTCCCCGATTTGCTGGGCACTCAGATCCCACCGGAGGTAGTTCACGGCCGAGCATGGTGCCGCCACGTCCAGGGCGTCTCCTGCACAGGCTGGACGCAGAAAACAGAACCCCACACCCGGCGTGTCTGCTTCAGGCTCGGAATCAGGGTCAGAGTAACAGGCCGGGGAGAGCCCCCAGTTTCCCAGAACAGATGGCGAGGCCCCAGGGCTTTCTGGGGATGCACAGGGCGATTGGTCCTCTAGAGCACAAGGTGATCCTGCCCCCAGGGGACACTGGGGGATGTCGTCTGTGGTTGTCACCACTAAGGAGTGATGCTCCTGGCTCAGCAGGGTCAGGCGTGCTGCTCAATACCCCACAGCAGCCAGGACCGCCCCCAGGAGAGGCCCCGCCCCCGAAGTCAGCAGTGCTGAGCGGGACATCTGGCACATACCTACATTTCACTGAAAGAATAACTGCACTGCAGCGTGGTACCCCCAACCTCCCTGAATGGAACCTGGAACATCTGTATTGTATTACTTCTCTAAAAGAGGGGGAAATCCTGATTACTGTGACGTCCCTAGCCCCAGGAGTTTTTGGATACAAGACTGTGGTCCTATAACAACGGCTGTCGGGCTTCCCTGGTGGCACAGCGGTTAAGAAGCCACCTGCCAATGTAGGGTACACGGGTTTGAGTCCTGGGCCAGGAAGACCCCACATGCTGCGGAGCAACTAAGCCCGTGTGCCACAACTACTGAAGCCTGCGCACCGCAACAAAGAGTAGCCCCCGCTTGCCACAAATAGAGAAAGCCTACGCTCAGCAACGAAGACCCAACGCAGCCAAAAATAAATAAATAAATAAATAAATTGAAAGAAAAACAACAGCTGTCATTTGAAAACCTTCTTGTGTGTTCCAGGGTGTTTTGACCTCACTGAACTCTCAGGCAGCTCTGTACTCTGCACCCTATGTAGCTCCACTTTACAGATGGGAATCCTGAGTTTGCCATGATGCCACAGCCAGCAGCGACAGAGGTGGGGTTCAAAGCCGGACAGCTTACTTCCACTGATACACACTAAGTGGCGGGGGGAGCCTCTTCACCTCAATAGAGGTTCGATTTTTCTGGCCAAATGACTGCTTCAAATTAGAGAATATCTTTGCAGAATATTCTGGATTTCAAGAACTGCACAAGAGGGACCGTGAGTCTGCATTAAATCTGGTGGTAAAGAAGGGCTCCAGGAGCTCAGGAAAGGCGGGAGGTCCGAGTCAGGTGGAATTGTCGGGAAAACCTTTTGGAGGAACTAGGATTTGAAAACTTGGAGCAGGCACATTCTTTTCATAAATATTTACTGATTGTCACCCAGGTCTCTGAGCTAACAATCCTGCAGCAAACAAGGCAGACAACGTTCCTGCCTCCCTGAGGCCTGAATAACCATAATTATGATTATCAGCATGAATACAATTATCATCATCATCACAATGGGCTGCAGAAAGAACAGAGGGAGGATAGGTGGGCAAGAGAAAATTCCAGGAGGCACGACTCAACATCCTGGGCGATTTTCTAAAATAGAGTATGCGGGTGGCATCGCTCCCCTAAATGAAAACCAAGCCTTCCATAGGGCCCCTTTGTGCTTCCCATAAAAGGGACTCCCAGCTGTGTTCCAGCTAAAATGACCTGTTGCTCTCCAAGCGCCGTGCTGGTGCGCTTGCCTCCCCGCCTTTGCCTTCGCGATTCCCACCACCTGGAATGCTCCTCCCGCAGGACAGCTGCTTCTCCCCACGGGGTCCAGGCTGAGTGAAATGCCACCTCCTCCGAGAAGCCCTCCAGGACCGCCCTCCCTAAAGAAGAACCACCAGCCCCGGCACCAACCACTGTCTAAAGCCCTCGCTTAATTTTTGCCTGTTGAACGTCCGTCTCTGGCTCTGGAACTGCGTCTAGAACTCCCTCAGAGTCCACCCAAGGGCCAGACCCATCCTCAGCAGAAGTGACACGGAGTTTGCCGAATGAGTGAAGCGCTGGAAAAGTTGTTCATTCATTCGGCAACCGAGGGGTCGGGGTTCCGGGCTCGCTGACCCCCTCCCCTGCCTGGGCCCGGGTCACTCGAGAGTCACTGGGCTCCGCTCTTAGGCCCCAGGGGCCACCCCGAGGGAGGGGGCGCGCGGCTCCTGGGTCCGGCGAGCGGGGCCAACACCAATGGGCGGCCGGTACCTGCGGGGGGCTTCATGGCTGGCGGGTGTGCACCGGCGACCTCTCCCTCCACCTGGCCTGCGTCGGCGTAACAGCCGTCAGCCTCCGTCCACTCAATCGCCGAAGCCTACTGGACTGAGGTGCCCGCCGCCCGCGCACCAACTGAATGCTGGGAGACGCGTGCGCCGGACGGCTGGGCGCACGCGCACCCCAGCTCCGCCCACAACCCGAGGCTGTGCGCCCGCTCGCTGACTCCTCCTGAGCATGCGCTGGAACCACCCCCGCCCGTCATTGGCTCTCAGTGGTGAGAGGGCAGAGCCTTCGGGGAGGCGGGGGGAGAGGCGTTTCCATGGAAACCCACACAGCTGGCGCCTCGGAGCCTTCGCTAGGTTCTCTCCTGCCAGTAGTTCGCTTGGGCTTCTAGCTCCTGTATTAATTTGTACTTGCCTCCTTTCTACCTTTGTTGGGTATTTGGCTAGTTTTACAAGTTTTCTCCCTCACTTAAGGTCCTCCGTGGTCGCTTCCCATATCTCAGGCTCTTATCCCATTTCCAGCATCCTGGCCAGCTTCTAGCGTCTAATGAACAGAGAAGGTGCACCACATATGTTAGCTGAATCCAGTTGGTCAATTAAATTAAACACACGTTCATTTAAAAAACAGAAATGTAAGCAAGTATCATTGAGAAAGCTTCAGTGAACGGATCCACGACTTCAAACAACAGGTGTTTTGGAACAGTGCAGTTACCTGACCTATATCTAGGGTTGTCGGTTAAAACAAAACCTTGAACCATCTAAAACACCCAGAAAGAAAAAGTTGCGAGAATTAAACCGGCCCCCAAACCCACCTCCTTTATTTCTGCAAAAAAAATGAAAATAACCCAGGGTGTTAAGTGTGCATGCGTTTTAAGTAGGATAAAAATGAGTTAGGAGAACGCTTCTGGCAACTTTAACGCTAATTTACTAGGGAATTTCTCGTTACCCACCCTCCGTTTTTTCTCTCTTGAGGACATCAAGTTTAGTTCTGTTACTCTTCATTTTCGCAGTTTCCTGTACCTGGAGTGCTTTCCTTCCGTTCTCCAAATCCACGTGTGAAAGAGAGGCCTTTCCTAATCATCCCAGCCAACTTATCCCCGCCCATCACAATCACAGCACCCCACATTTTCTTCATAGCGCTTACCATTAAGTAAAATTTGTTCATTTATGTACTAGTATACTAGTTTATAGTCCGTCTACCCCAATACAAGGTAATGAGAGCAAACATTTTGCTGGCCATTATAGTTGGTGTGCAATATTTTTCGACTATTAGACATCTGCTGTAAACAAATATCTCTATTGCTTTACTCTTATGGATTGAATAAATGAAAGAACGCACTTGTAGGTGGATGGGTGGGTGACTAAATGTACAAATATGTTCAAAGAACGCCTGTAATTCTCTGGTCGCCAGATACCCAAACACAGCTGCACCACGTGGTCGACTCTGCACCACATGACGGCTCCGCCAACCCACAAGAGTCCGCCACTGTCCCACCATGCACCGCTCCATTCCGGCTGTAGAGGACTAGTCAGTTCTGATTTCCGCCCTCCTTTCGGTCGCAGAGGTCAGTTGCCCTAACGACCAGCTTGTCCCAGCCTCTAAATTGCGTCACTTCCCCCCCACGCCCGCCTAGATAATTGGTGCGCCTGCGCAGAATGAAAGCCCGCGGGTGCTGGCTCCTTCTGCGCAGGCGTCGCAGCTGGGGGGCGGGACCGGGCGGGGCCGCGGTACGCAGGCGCAGCCGTCGGTGGGTCGGGGTTCTGCTGCCTGAGAGGTGAGTGTGCGGGGGGAGCTTGGCGCTGAGCCCGGCGGACCTGAGGTCCGCGGTTCGGGGCTCTTGGGGCTCCCAGGGCTCCGGGCCCCGTAAGAGGACGTCGGTGTGGGGCCGGGGTCGCCGCGTCCGTGGGGTACTATGAGTGGGCGGCGCGGAGAGGAAACTGAGGCCGGACGGCGTCGGGCAGGCCCTCGCCGGCCCGGGTCTCCCTCCCCCAGACCCCAGGCCCGGGAAATGCGGGTTCTCAGGCCGGCGGGTGGACAGCGGGAGGCAAAGCGCTCCGCACATAGTGAGCGCTTGCTGGGTGTCCGCTGCTTCCCGGAAACACGGTCCTTTTGAATCGGGGCCCCCGTTCGTGGGGTTCAAGTCGGGGCTCCTGTCTCGGCGCCGCCACTCTCTACATGGGTGACCTTAGCCAGCCTCTTGGCTTCTCGGAGCCTCAGTTTCCCCTTCTGTAAAATGGGCGTCGTCTCCGCCCCTGCCTGGGGTGGGAGGCTTCCGGGAGGATTAAAGTCGCAGGGCCCCCAGCGCGAAGTGAGAGCTCAAAGGGATCAGCAGCGGTTAGTCTGATTTCACACGGAGGGCCTCTGCCTACTGTGCTGGAGGTGGGAGAAATCTGGGGTTGAGGACCAGCTCGTCCACCTCTCGCTGGCTGTGTAAGCTCGGGGAGATCGCTTCCACTCTCCACCAGCCCTTTTCTTCTACTAAGAGGGGTTCTAGAAGTACATGTCTCTTACAGGCATTTTGAGGTTAAATACACGTGGAACATTCTTTACTCAGTTTCCCGCTCCTTGTCAAGAGCTTTCTAGAGGACAGCTAGTTTTGTTATCAGGTGCCAGGAAATGCGTGTGCACTCTGCATCCTCGCTGAGTGATGTTCCCATTTTCTTTTGTTTCTACCTCGCTGGTTATTTTTGTCTGCTTTTCCAGGACAAGACCAGGCATATTGTCCTGTCAGGGGACCCGGGGCCGTGTCTGGGGACATCTGTGGCTTTCACGACCAGGGGCACTCCTGGCACCAAGTGGGTGGGGACCAGGGATGTTGCTCCACACCCCTCAGTGCACAGGACGGCCCCCACAGAAAATGATCTGGCCCCAAATGTCCACAGTGCCAAAGTTAAATCCTACCCTAGACTAGTGATTCTTCACCAGTGGGCTTCAGAGGGGGCAGAGGATGTGAACCCCCAAGAAATCACGTGCAAAGTTTTGTGTGCATGCCCACTTTTGTGGGATGAGGAAAGGGTATTTTGGAGTTTAGGCTCTGGAATCAGCCCGCCCAGGTTCAAAACTGCCGATTTGCATCTTAACTGGTTGCCCTTGGGGGGGGTGCCCCCATCTCGCTAAGCCTCAGTTTTTTGTTCTGTACAATGGGAGTTAGATTAAACAAACTGTAACCAGGGGGCCAAATCCCCCTGCAGCCTGTGTTTGTGAATGAGGTTTTGTGGGAGCACAGCCCACTTGAGTGCATACATGTTATCCATGGCCTGGGAAGCTGAACGTCCTCATTCTGACCCTCCTTTTCAGAAAATGTTTGCTGACCCCTGAAATAGGCCATTATGTGTACTCAGCTCAGGGCCTGGAAAGTCCTGGGCACTCCTAGGATTTCATTCAGGGGTTTATAATTCAGTCTTCCTGAAAGGGTGAGTGGTTCTAAATGGGGTTAAGCTCTGCCCCGGATTGAGAGCTACAGTCTTACTTGTTCCTACTTTTTTTTTTTTTTGCCAAAACCCAATGCTGGCCCTGGTGGCCAATGCACAGTGAGGGTGAAAGAGTAAAGGGGACGGTTGGTAGGTAGGCTTGTCATCCCCTCTGCTGATGAGGAAACCGAGACCCAAGAGAAACGGCCTCCCAAAGGAACCTGGTCACGTGTCTCTGACCATGACAACGATCCAAGGTTTCTCTGAGTCCATGTGGACCAAACGCCCCTGAGTGCTGGGGTCCCTGGGGGAAGGTGATCTGTCCAGTGGCTCACAGTCGGGTGCAGGGTGGGCAGGCCAGGAAAGAGTCGGAAGGCCTTGTAGGAGATGCTGGACCAGAGGCAGGACAAGTACTGGGCTTTGCTGGAAGAAGAGGGTGTCCAGCTCTGTCTGAGGAGGTGACCTTCTGGCTTGGTGTTGAAGGGGGAGTGAGTGGTTCCCGGATGGCAGGAGGGAAGGTGAGCGTTCCGTTTGAGCAGAGCACAGGGGCTCTGCTCAGGAGGTTTCGGGGGACTGTGGAGGGTTTTTAGAGTGCAGGACATCCTGGCAGACCCTCAGAGGAAAACAGGGCTGCGATGTGGGGCTCGGGCTGGAGCCTGAGTTCCAGCTCTTGGGACCGCCCTTTCCTGGGAACCCTAGGTGCCCTGGGAGGGGAGGGAGGAGCACAGGACCAGCTTGCACACACTGGTGTTGGTGAGAAGAGCTGGATTCGGGGTGGCAGTGGGGCAGGGCACCCCCAGAAGGGGTGGGCAGTCGCAGAAAGAGGGTGCTACTCCTTCCTGGGGTCCGGGGCTGGGTCACTCATTTTCCTGAGTGTACCCTTTTGCCTCTTCGAATGATCAGTTCTGAGCAGGGAAATAAAAGGAGTAGAGGCTGGGGTGTTTGGGGGTTTTTTGGCCAAGCTGCACAGCATGTGAGATCTTAGTTCTCGGACCGCGGATCAAACCCATGCCCCTTGCACTGGAGGTGCAGAGTCCTAACTACTGGACCGCCAGGGAAGTCCCGAGGCTGGGGTGTTTTTAATGATAAAATGGAAAGGTGGACGGAGAGCTGGCGGGGGTTCTGAACGCACAGGGAGGAACTGGCACCGGGACTCCCGCTGCAGCCGCACCCCGGGGCCAGCGTCCGTCCCCTGGCCAGGCTCGCGCCTGAACCCCGCACCTGCAGCCAGCGCCCTGGGTGCCTTTGGATCCTCACAAAGCCCTCGCTGTTCGCAGAGAGAGTGGCCTGCCCCAAGAATTCTGTCCAGCAGCCAAAGCCCAACAAGTCGGGATTGTTTCCGAGACCCCAGTGCCCAGGGGCGGTCAAGGAAAAGAGCGTCCTGGCGTTCCTGGGCCACTTTGCAGGGAGCGGGAAGGTGAGGAAGGGCCGACAGCCGTTCCGCGCCCGAGAGGCAGGAGAGCGGCAGTCCTCACGGCCCACCTGTCTTGGACATGTGCTGGGTCCCCGCTGTGGACCCACATCTGCTTTTCTGCAGTCCGGAAACCCCAAATACTCTGCAAACACAGGATTTGCTGAAAGTTTGCAGCCAAGTCGTTTGGCCAGAAACTCTGACCCGCGCTGACTTTTATTTTTCCCACTTAGTGTTTATCAGTGATTTTCAGCTGGTGGTGGTTTGGTGACGTCTGGAGACTTTTGTGATTGTTACCACTGTGGGGGAGGGGGCCTGCTCCACATCCCATGGTGCCCAGGATGGCCCCCACAGAGAGTGACCCAGCTCCCACGTCAGCTGTGCTAAGGGGGAGGGGCCCTGCATTCATTATTTGGGAAAAAATCGAGTTTGATCCTTGTTCACACTGGACACCAGAATAAACCCCTGATGATCAGACAGTGTAAACCAAGGTGACCCCCAGCGTGTGTGAGTCACCTCCCCTCCCTCCCACTCAGGTGTGGATTTAAATGTGTGTAGCATCCTGGGACCTCAAAGGTCAGATAGTCATGGAACGTAACCTCCGGGAGTCAGTGGAATCCCTAACCCCGGGGGTCTCACCCCGAGTGATTCTGGCCCCAGGGGACACTGTTGGACGGATGCCAGGGATGCTGTTAAATACCCTACAGTGCACAATCTCCACAAAAGGAGTGATCTCCCCCGCACCATGCGGATAGAGCCTGGGGGAGAAGCTCCGCATGGGGCGCTGGATTCTCACAACAGCCTCTGTTACCCTGTTTTATAGAAGAGGAAAGAGAGGGCATCGCGGGGGCTCCTTTAGCCGTGACACGAGCATCCCGGCTCAGGGGTGGGGAGGCGACGTGGAGCTGGCCTCAGGTGGAGACGGCTGGACCTCAGGTGCTAAGACTGCAGAGCCCGTTGTTACCCCCAGGGCGCCTCCGGGAGCCCTGGTCTCGGTGCTCACTGTGTCAACTTGGGGGGCCGGCCCTCGGGAGGAGGTCATGTCAGTAGACCAGGAGAAGCCGGGAACCAGGAAACCGGGTAGCGGTTGCCTCAAATGAGCCGTTTAGTCGGGGTGGGAGGGCTGGTAGCAGCATGTACAAAGGCCCTGAGGTACAAAGGGCCGGGGCCCTTGGAAGAACGGAAGCTGTGCCAGGAACGGGTGTGACTTCGTGTCTCAGTTCTCTGCACCCTGATGGTCCCCTCAGAGTCACCCCCTCCGTCCTCACAGCTCAGTCACGTAAAGATCAGATTGCCTCTTTATCCTACTCTTAAGCAAACGCTTGTCACCACAGGGCCTCCATTAGTTCCCTGTGAGGAAAACAGATCCCCCCACGCACAGACCCTCGAGCCCAGTGTGAAGCTGTCACCCAGTACCAACTCCCATGGGTCTGGCAGGGGGGTCGTGCCCCTGAGTGCTGCCTGGAACACATCGGGGGAGCCCCAGCTGCCCAGCCTGTGACCTTACCATGTGACCTGTCAACCTGTGACCCCCTCTGGGAGACCCTGGCACCCCTCCATCCCGTTCAGTGATCGAGAAGTCGGCTGGGAGGGGTCGGCAAACACGAAGGCCCAGGTGGTAAATTCTGTGGGCTTTGGGGCCCTTGAGGAAAACCAAGTGTGCTCTGTAGACACTTCTATGACGTAGGGATGCAAAAGACATCCTCAGCTAAACAGGCGGCTGCCAGGTTTGGCCCTTGACCCCCTCATTAGAACAGAATGTACAAAAGGATCAAGGTCCTGGGGTCTCGGAGGTTCACATCCTAAGAGGACCACTTTGGGCTTTGAAAACAGATTTTCTTCTAGTTACAGTAAAATAGATATACCATAAAGTTTACCATTTTAACCATCTTTAAGCGCACAGCTCAGTGACATTAGGCACATTCACATTGTCGTACAACCATCCCCACCATCCATCTCCAGAACTTTCTTATCTTCCCAAACTGAAACTCTGTCCCCATGAAACAGAGTCCCCCAGCCCCTCCCCCAGCCCGCTGCCATCTAGTTCCTGTCTCTATGGATTTGAGTTCTCTAGGGACCTCATGTGAATTGAATCAGACAGCGTTTGTCCTGTGTCTAGTTTATCTCACTGAGCAATCACGTCCTTAAGGTTCGTCCAGGTTGTAGCAGGTGTCAGAACTTCCTTCCTTTTTAAGGCTGAATAATATTCCGCTGTGTGGATGGATCACATTTGTTGATCCATCATCCATGCATGGACATTGGGTTCTGTCTACCTTTCGGCTGTGGTGAATGATGCCTCTGTTTGTCAAATATCTAAAACCAGAACCTTGTTGACGTTTTGGGCAGCAGCTCACTGGTTCAGCTGGGGAAGATGACTCACCTTTGGGGGTTTCACTGTCTTCAAAACGAGTGGGTTGTGCTGGCTGGTCTCCCTGGGCCCCTCTGTGTTGCCCCTGAGAGCCTGTGCATCTGGGGCTGGCCGTCTGTCCTCTGGGCTCTAGCGTCCTGATCCCAGACCTCCCAGTTCCTGGGACGCTCTTGGGCCAAAGGCACTTGCTTGGTAAAGGCTCATTGTATCCAGAAATGGGGGAGGAAAAAGCTCATTACCATCCCCGTAGAGCTTTCCAGGGGTGGCCAGAATGCCCTGTCCAGCTGTACAATATAGCTGCTTTAAGTTCTTCCCTTTTTAAAATTTGAGATATAATTCACATACCGTAAAATTTAGTAGATTTTAGTGTATTCACAGTGCTGTGCAACCATCACCACTAATTTCAGAACATTCCATGACCCCAAAAGAAGCCCCACCCGCTCCTCAGCCCCTGGCAACCACGAACCCACTCTCTGTGTCTGTGGATCTGCCTGTTCTGGACATTTCCCATCAATGGAATCACACACTGTGTGGCTTTCTGTGTCTGACTTCTCGCCCTTTTTTTAAGTTGTCGATGGATGTAGTTTTCTGTGAACCAGAAACAGCTCTGAGCGCGGCCAGCATTGCGTGTGTTGACTGCACTTGCCTGGCAGCTCTGGGCTGGCAGTGCCCGGCCTGCTGTCAGCCAGTGTGCGAAGCCTGGGGGTTATGACTTGCTCTGCCCGGTTTGATTTACCCGCCGCTGGCCAGTGGTGGGTTCATCATAACTCAGCCAGGAGGCCGCCTCTAGATTTCCAAGCCACACAGGCTGTTCACCCCACGGGGGCATGTTTGGGGGACCAAGATGCTTCACACCATGGATCCCACCCTCCCGGGTGAGCCCTGCATGGCCTCGGGCAAGCGTGGGGTGCCCCCTCTGAGCCTGTTTCCTCTCTGCGTGGGAGATGGGCCTGTGCAGGGGGTGAGGCTGTGTGTGAAGTGCCTGGCGCGTCACGGCCCACAGGGAACAGGCCCTTCCCACGCTCGTTCTCCAGGCTTCTCGCCTCAGCACTGTAGGGGGCCATCCCCCAAGTTGTGACGACCACAGCTGTCACCAGTGTCCCCTTGGGAGAGTCACACCTGGCCTAGGAATACAGCAGGTTGTAGAGGAACCCAGAGGAGGCCCTGAGGTGGCCTGGGAGGGGGTGTCAGTGCCCTCTGTGCCTTCGGTCTGCTCAGGCCCACCCAGGGGTCCTGTCTGACCCCCGTGGGTGGTGCATGTCCCCCGGGTGTTTGGAAACTGTTGGGCCGTTTTCTTGTCCAGAGCATGGAGTAGCAGCAGGTGGGGCTGCAGCCTGCCCTCTGTGTCCCTGGGGAGCCCCACGCCCCCCGTCCAGCTGGTGAGGAGTGATGACCACCGTGCCCAGGGCCACATCACCCTGGGGTTAGAGTCAGGCAGGACGGCAAGGGACTCTGGACCTACAGCCTCAGCGTCTCCTCTGTGAGATGTGGAGAATTCACACGTCTGCCTCACTGTGTCAGGCAGACACAATTAGCCAGTGAGTTAAAGTGGCTCCTGCAGGGCAGGGCGGGTGCTTGAGGGCAGAGGGGCAAAGGCTCGGCTGTTCCCGCCGCCCGTCCTGTCCTCACACTGTGGACCGCTCTCCGCAGATCCTGAAACCCCCAGACCTTGTCTGCTCCCATCTCAAGATGGATAACAAGAAGCGTCTGGCCTATGCCATCATCCGGTTCCTGCATGACCAGCTCCGGCACGGGGAGCTCTCCTCTGACGCCCAGGAGAGCTTGGAAGGTACGTGCTGCGGGCCACGCCTGCCCCCCAGGGCCTTGAGTCCCCTGCCCAACCCCCCACCTGCATCAGTGCCTAGAAGCTCCGTGGGGTGGGAGTGATAGGCTGGTCCCTGTCCTCGTTTCACAGGTAGGGACGACGCTGAGCCCCAGGCGGGTGCAGGGCTGCCCCCCGCCTCCCTCACTTTAGGCTGGGCCTCCTGCAGCTGTTCTCTTCTGGAAGGATGCAGTTCCCGAAGGTTCTCCATGTCCCCTGTTGTGCGTGTGTCCCTACCGGTCAAAGGAGTGAGAGAGACCAGGGGTGCGGAGCCCAGCCCAGACCCGGCTGCTAGCCTGCCTGGCAGGAGATAGCTGTTCCATGCCCACCGGGCCGCGCCGAACCCCCGAGGCCCCCCACCTGGGCAGCCCCAGCATTGTGACCCCACAGAGAGGCCTGGCGTCACCACCTGAGCCCCGTGGGGCAGGGACGGCGGCTCCCCCCCTCCTCCTGGCCTCAGGGTTCGAGGGGTCCATTCTGCGCTGCCCGAGGAATCACAGCTGGCACCCATAGGGCCCTGCAGGGCGCACGCAGCGCCTGGTGCATCCGAGGCCTTAGCGAGCACGTCCAAGAAAGGAAGCGTGAGCGCTGCCCCCCAGAATCGTCAGCTTGGGGTTGGGTTTAGCAGAGCACACCTTTCTTCCCCTGACAGTTGCCATCCAATGCCTGGAGACCGCTTTCGGGGTGACGGTGGAGGATAGCGACCTCGCGCTCCCCCAGACTCTTCCCGAAATATTTGAAGCAGCTGCGGCGGGCAGGGTGAGCCTCGGGCACTGCGGGGCTGTGGTTCTGTCTCAGTTCGGGGGCCTGAGTTACCCCCCAGAGCTCAGCTGTCCTCGGGCGTCCCCTGGCTGGTTGGGGGAGGGGAGAGGGTGCTGGGCTTGGGGGAGGAGGTCGGCGGTTTCCTGCTGCCCTTCAAAGAGCTCATTGTGGCTTTGGGGCCAGGAGATACCACCTGATCTGAGGAGCCCCCAGCGAACCCCACCTTCGGAGGAGGACTCGGCCGAGGCAGAACGCCTCAAAACCTCGTCAGCTTGGGGTTGGTTTCAGCAGAGCACACCTTTCTTCCCCTGACAGTTGCCATCCAATGCCTGGAGACCGCTTTCGGGGTGACGGTGGAGGATAGCGACCTCGCGCTCCCCCAGACTCTTCCCGAAATATTTGAAGCAGCTGCGGCGGGCAGGGTGAGCCTCGGGCACTGCGGGGCTGTGGTTCTGTCTCAGTTCGGGGGCCTGAGTTACCCCCCAGAGCTCAGCTGTCCTCGGGCGTCCCCTGGCTGGTTGGGGGAGGGGAGAGGGTGCTGGGCTTGGGGGAGGAGGTCGGCGGTTTCCTGCTGCCCTTCAAAGAGCTCATTGTGGCTTTGGGGCCAGGAGATACCACCTGATCTGAGGAGCCCCCAGCGAACCCCACCTTCGGAGGAGGACTCGGCCGAGGCAGAACGCCTCAAAACCGAAGGTAAGGAATGCCCCGCACAGCGGGCCTCTGGGTGCTACGGGCGGAGGCCGGCTGGTCCAGGGCTTTGGAGCGGATGGCAAACCAGCCTTTGGAGATGGGGCCGGAGGGCTTTTACATGGATGCAAAGATGCAGAGAAATCAGACCCTTGACCAGGAGGAATTAAAGGGTGAGGCCGCTGTGGAGGGTGGTCCGACAGCTTCCCAAATGGTTAGATAGAGTGACCATGTGACCCAGCAGTTCCACCCCAGGGTGTGCCCAGGAGGGATGCAAACGCACATTCACAAAGATGCTTGTGCGTGCATGTTCATAGTGGCATGGTGCACAACAGCCGAGGAGTGGAAACCGCCCAGGTGCCCATCAGCTGATGAACGGACACACACACATGTCCCTCCACACACGGGAACGTCACTCAGCCATGCAAAGGAGAGAAGCCCTGACACTCACTCCACCGTGGATGGACCTTGAGAACAGGGTTCTCAAGGAGAGAAGCCAGACACAGAAGGACACACAGTGTCTGATTCCATTGATGGGAAACGTCCAGAACAGGCAGAGCCAGACAGAGAGTGGATGTGTGGTTGTCAGGGGCTGGGGGGGGTGACAGCTAATGGGGATGGTGCTTATTTTGGCTAATGGAATGTTCTGGAATTAGTGCTAATGGTTGGACCACTTTGAATATACTAAAAACCACTGAGTTATACACTTTAAAAGGGTGAGTCTCACGGTACGTGAATTCCATCTCATTAAAACTGCGCTGTTTCTGAAGGGATGAGCAAAAGTGATGGTATCTGAGGCTTAGGTTCCCAAATACCACAACCAGGACAGTGACAGCTGCTGCACCAAGGGCTGGCTCAGGCCAGGCCCTGGGCTGGACGCAGACCCACCCTCCGCCTCACGCCACCACCCTAGCCTGTGTCTAAGTGTTGCATCCTGGGCCCCCAAAGTCTCGAACTGTCACATGGAAGCCGGGCGAGCCGAGAACGCCGTCTCAGAACTTCGGGGTCCGAGGGGAACAGCTGAGGGTACATTTCCTTCCCTTTCTCTTCAGGGAATGAACAGATGAAAGTAGAAAACTTTGAGGCTGCCGTGCACTTCTATGGGAAAGCCATCGAGCTGAACCCCGCCAACGCCGTCTATTTCTGTAACAGGTACGGCAGGGACCGGTGGGGTCCTGGGTGGGCTGAGCGGGGTCCCCAGGGGAATGGGAGGGGCGGTCGATCTGTGGGTTAGTGATGGCTCAGCCGCTGTCCCAAATAACGAGCCCATGCCTGGTGGCCAGCCAGGTGCGGCCCAGTGTCAGTGGTGCTAGCGGCCGCACTCGTCTGCCCCCACAGCCTCGGTTTCCCTGGTAAACGGGGCGGCACCCAGATTGCTATGTCCTGTGGTGCCAGCCCCGGCGTCCAGCCCCACCGGGCCTCCCATCCTTGGCAACCCTGCCTCTGCCCCACCTGACAGACGGGGAAGCTGCAATTAGCTCCCCGACTGCCCTGGTTTGCCTTCTCCCAGAGCTGCGGCCCACAGCAAACTGGGGAACTACGCGGGGGCGGTTCAGGACTGCGAGCGGGCCATCTGCATAGACCCGTCCTACAGCAAGGCCTACGGCAGGATGGGGTGAGTGCCTCCCGCCGCGTACATGCTGTCTGCCTGGGGTCAGCATGGCCCCGCACGTTAAGGCCCCAGCCCACTGGGCTGCCCCACCTCACGCACCAATCCCGAGTCCAGGCCGTCAGCTGAGCTGACCTACCAGCTGTAAGTCGGGGTTCCCACGACCCTCTCCTTGGGTTCAGCGATTCCCTCGAAGGCTCACAGGACTCAGGAAAACGTTTCACTTAACCTTCTCTGGCTTATCGTAAGGGAAGGGATGCAGCAGGCGGAGGGCCGCCAAGGGCGAGGGCCGCCAAGGGCGAGGTCGGGGAGGGTCCCGAGGCAGAGCTTCCGTCCTGCGGGGCTCGGGGCGCGCCTCCCACCCAGCACGCGGGGCGGTCACCAGTGGGGGTGGGTTTTATAGCCCGTCTCTAACGCCTCCCTCCCTGGGAGTTGGGGGTGAGTTTGGTCTTTGTGGCCAGCAGCACATCCGGAGGCTTCCTGGAAGCCCACCTCATTAGCATAAACAGGCCTCCTCGTTAGCATAAACTCCAGTGCAGTCCAAGGACACACCTGTGATTCAGCTCGCCAGAGCAGGGAGGAGCTCTGACCATGCCTGCCCCGCCTCCTCCCAGCCCTGGCGACCCCAGCAGTTCGGGGCTGCTGGGCCTGGGCGGGCAGGTGGACGGCCTCCCAGGCCCTCCACGCGCACTGTCCCTCCTGCAGCCTGGCTCTGTCCAGCCTGAACAAGCACACGGAGGCTGTGGCCTACTACAGGAAGGCCTTGGAGCTGGACCCCGACAACGAGACCTACAAGTCCAACCTCAAGGTGGCGGAGCTGAGGCTGAGAGAGGCACCCAGTCCCGTGAGTCCTCTGGGGACCGGCTGCGGGGGCAGGGCATCTCGGGGTAGAGGGCTGGGCCTGACCCGTGTGGGAAGAATGCCTCTGGTGCCGGGGGTCCGGCATCTGTTTAACGGGGTCCTGTCGTGAGGGAAGAGGCTTATCCTCACAGAGCCCCCGGAAATGGGAGGGCATGGGTCACATGGGGAAGCCCCAGCTCGTCAGGAGGCAGAGGGCTGGGGGCCGTGTGGGCCTTGGGAAGGAGCTGGCAGGCTGGGTGAGCAGGCGCAGGATCGGCTAGTTTGAATGGCCCCAGGGCAGGGGGGCTGCCCGGGGTGACCAAGGCAGGGGGACAGTGGCCCCGAGCCCTGTAGAGGCTGGTTTGCGCGTGAAAGGTGCACTCGCGGGCCATTTGTTTACCAGTTTCTAGGGATTGGCCACCCTTGGAAGGGGCCGTCCCGCCACAGCATCACAGAGTGAAAGACACGGTTAATATATCGTGCTCTTCCGGGGTACCCACACCGTTGTGCGCATCTTTTACGAAGCACCCCCGGCCGCAGGGTCTGGCCGCCCGGGTTGCTGGGATGCCCAGGATTCCAACAGGCCCCAGGTGGGACCTTACCCCTCAGTTCCCAGGGGGCTGGCTGTCGAGGTTCTGTGTCGAGACACCACTGACCAGGGCTTTTCTCACCCCACAGACGGGAGGTGTTGGCAGCTTCGACATCGCGGGTCTGCTGAACAACCCAAGCTTCATGAGCATGGTAACGGCCCCCGCCTGCCGTGTCACCACGGGCCCCGGGCCAGGGCTGCCCCACTGCAGACACCATGGACACTGGGCGCCGTGGGGTGTGGAGCCGGACAAGCTGAACCCACCTCTCCCAGCTGAATAACCTGGGGAATCTCCACGCCCCTTCCCCCCCAGCCCGGGCCCCCTTGTGGTGTGGCCACGGTGACAGCAGAGTTGCTGCACCTGCTCCCTGAGGTGCAGACGAGACACTGCAGGGCGCGGGGGCCCCGCGGAGGAAGGGCCGACCACCTTCTGGTCCAGATGCGCGTGTTCTGCGCAGGGCCGTCCCCTGGAACAGGCACCCAGCATATCCGGCACATGCCTGTCAGCCCCCGCGTGGTCTCACTGGTCCTCAGGCCACACCGCTGGCTCAAGGGGCCTCAGGGTGGGGGTCTCAGGTCGCCAGGGAGAGAGGAGCCTGGAGTCCCCCCCATCAGAGAAACGTCCGCACCTGAGCGGGAAGCGTCTGGTCTCCCATGTCTCGGAGCCTGGGCTACTGCTCTCGTCCAGGGCGGCGTGGGCACGAGGCTGCCAGAGGACTCCTGGCGGCGGGGAGCGGCCTGACAGAGGCCGCTCCTTTGGCCTTGTCCGTCGGGGTCGGCGATCCCGGCCCCCCTCAGCTTCGTGCTGTGCTGTCGGCACCCATCCGTGCCCAGCACTTGCATGACCGTGGCCTGGACACCCAGCCATGCAGGGCAGTGGACTGGCTGAGGCCGGCTGGTAGCGCTCTCCAGCCCTTTTCGGAAAGAGCCACAGCCTGGAAGGTGCTTCCCTAGCTTCTGCTTGTGTGCACGTCTTAAAATCGGCCCTGAGGAGATAATCCCGACGTGGCTGGGGATGTCAGTGTAGGAGAGATGCCAGGATGATGTTCATCCACATAGCAGAGCTGGAACTGACTCCCAGGTGTCCCTGGTCAGGGAAGGATGACGAGGTTCCTGAAATCTTAAGATGAGAGTCCAGATGGGATCGAAGTGGGGAAAGGGCAGGGTCACAGTGTGTGGGGATGGGGTGGGGCCCGGGGAAGAGGCGGGCCTGGCGCTTTGGGTTCTGGGCTGGAGGCCCACGGTGCCTACGGGGAAACCTTGTCAATGATGAAATGCGTTTGGGAGCTTGATTTTTCTGAGAAGTCTGTTTTTTTCTTCAGGCATCCAACCTCATGAACAATCCCCAAGTTCAACAGCTGTAAGTGACCACCGTTCTCCTTTGGGTCTTGTGGTTAAAACTAGTGTGGTGCAAGATGCATAAAATGTACCATTTTAACCATTTTAAGGTTTGTGATTCCGTGGCGTTAAGTACATTTACGACGTCCTGTAGCTGTGGCCACCATCTAGTTCCAGACATTCATCACCTGAAAAAGAAACCCCGTCCCATTAGCACCATCCCCAGTCCCTGACCACCAGGAACCCACTCTCTGTCTCTGGATTTGCCTGTTCTGGACGTTTCCCATCAATGGACTCAGACTCTGTGTGGCCTTCTGTGTCACTGGCATCACCCGGTGTCCCTGAGGGACAGCATTGCCCCGTTGAGAGTCACTGTCTTTAAGCCAAAAAAGGGTGTTGCTGGGAAAGCTGATGGAATTGACAGGCTTCAGTCAGAGGAGCGTGGGCTGAGGGCAGGTTCGGGCCCCAGGAGATGTCCATTGCCGGCAGAGGGGAAGGGCCAAGTGGGGATCAAAGGAGGAGGGCTGAACTGTCTGCGAGTTAAGGGCTCTCTTTGCAGCATGTCCGGCATGATATCGGGCGGCCACAACCCCTTGGGGACTCCTGGCACCAACCCCTCGCAGAACGACCTTGCCAGCCTCATCCAGGCGTGAGTGGACCTGCCAGGCGGGGCTCCTGGGCAGGCAGGGCGTGTCCCCACTCCCCCAGGAAGAGAGACCTGCTCTGTAGGGCCTGCGTCCTCCAGGGAGCGGTCTCCCTGCCCTCGAGGGGCACGTGGGGCGGGCACCCTGGGCCAGGCTGAGCCCAGGCGCACCTCCCCTCCCCGCAGGGGCCAGCAGTTCGCTCAGCAGATGCAGCAGCAGAACCCAGAGTTGATAGAACAGCTGCGCAGTCAGATCCGGAGTCGGACCCCCAGTGCCAGCAGCGACGACCCGCGGGAATGACTGCCTGGTGAGTCCGGGGCCGGGCCTGCGTCGCCGAGGCCACGCGGGGGCGTCTGTGGTCATCAGGCCCCTTGCCGGGGGTTCCCACCCGGATCCCCCACCCCTCTCAGTCCCGCTCAGTTGGGCTGTTTCTCTCTCCAGCCTCTCAGCGCCATCAGGTCCTTCCCGGCTGACCGGAAGCCTTCTCTCACTTTTCCGTCTCTCTTCCCATTGGACCGCCCATGAGAGGAAAAGGAATTGGACCTGCACGTTAAGACGGATTTTTATTATTTTTATTTTTTTGCCTCAGCCCTTTCCTCCCTTTTTGTACTCTCTCACGGCCCCCAGACCCTTCTCGAAACAGAGCCAGCAAGCTGTGAGCACAGACCAGCACCAGTCTCACTCCCAGCCTCCCCAAAACCCAGTCTCTAAAGTATTTTCTAGAATAATTTGGGGGGGTCCTTTCGCTGCTCTCAAGAAGCGGCCCACGGGGAAGCCGTGGCATGAAGCCCCTTCCGCAACCCTGCCCCCTCGGCCTGTCTTCAGGGGCCTCGCAGCCCATGAGAAGCTGCTCTCTGTGTCGACCTTGGCCACCCCAACCGCCCCTGCTCGGACGGGCTCCCTGCCAGCCAGCCCGGCCCGCGGACCCGGGTTCTCGCATGAGCAACTCCCGCTGCAGGTTCCCAGGAGCCGGTTCTGTTGCCCTGGGCCTGGGGGTGGCCCAGAGCAGATGTCCTGGGTGTGCAGGACCCATTTCTGGGACTTTTCTTCCAGTCGAGCATTTGGATGGATGCGGGTCCGATCCCAGTGCTCTCTTCCCAGTACTCAACGACCGACAGACCGTGAGGGGCCCTCTCACCACCTTCAGCCTAGACCCCGAGCCCATCCCGGCCTGGCCATGTGTCCCAGCCACTGCCCTTCTGCCCACAGGTAGTCCCGCTGGCCCGGCGCCTCCTCCCTTTGGGAGGGGGGCTGCAGGGGGTCCTGGTGCCACCCACCTTGGCCTGAGATTGCCAGGCAGCCACCGTGGATGCCCGGCGGCCCCAGGCGAGGCGGGGCAGTGTGGGGAGGAGGGGTCGGCTGGCACCACCGCTCCGGCAGCAGCATTGGCAGCTGGATTGTCGGAGGCTCCCTGGTGGTGTTGGGCTATGTGCGAGGTGACCCAGCACCGTGTGTGTAGGTAACTGGTAGGGAGACGGCTGCCAGCCACCTGCCGTCTGGCACATGTCCGGCGAAATGTGTCCTAACTCTTGCGTGCTAGCCATGGTGACAAGCATAACGTAACGTATGGGGAATAAATAGACATCATGATCTCTGCCTGTCTCTGTGTTGACCTCTCAGTGCCGCCGCCCCTCCCTGCCCCTAGCTTCCAGGAACCCCCAGCCTGGACCCTGTGTGGGTTGCCTTGGAACCACTGAACCGGGTTGTGTGTGCATCTCCTGTCACCGCTGAGACAGTCCCACAGATTCAGTGGCTTTTAACCACACAGAGCATCTCGGTCCTGGAGGTCAGAAGTCGGACGTGGCCCCTGCCCCCGGAGGCTAAATCCAGGTGTGGGCGGGTCTGCCTCCCTGCCAGGGCTCAAGGGGAGAAGTGCCCCCTGCCTTTCCCAGCGTCTGGAGGCCGCCACAGACGGTGTAGGCAAAGGGGGGCATCAGCACCTGCACTCGGCTCCCCACTGGCCACTGGGCTGTGGAAACACCTTTGGGCCACACTCGCCTCCTTCAGCCGTGGCCTCTGTGGCTTCTGGGGGATTGTACTTCCAGCTTCCGGTGACCTTGAGCTGCCGTGTCCTGCAGAGATGACTTCCCCGTGTTCCCTGCCTCTTGGACGGTGGCCAATAGGGGACGAAGGAAGTTCAAGGAGGAGGAGGGATCCGTCCCCGGTGGGTGCCGCTGGTGGGGTGTGGAAGCTCCCTGCCGTCCAGCCCTCCTGTTCCAGCTACTCAGTGCCACCGGGCAGCCTGGCCACCAGCGGAGCCGGTGAGGAAGGCGGGGTCCTGGCCGCCCCGAGTTCCCGATCTGCGTTTCCACAGAAGTTAATGCAGTAAACCGGCATTTACGTGGCTCCAGCTACCTGTCTGGGGAAATGGTTCCTTTAAAAAAAATTGAGATATAATTCGCATGACATAACATTTGCCATTTAAAAACGTACGGGGAGGGCTTCCCTGGTGGCGCAGTGCTTGAGAGTCCGCCTGCCGATGCAGGAGACGCGGGTTCGTGCCCCGTTTCGGGAGGATCCCACATGCCGCGGAGCGGCTGGGCCCGTGAGCCATGGCCGCTGAGCCTGCGCGTCCGGAGCCTGTGCTCCGCAAATGGGAGAGGCCACAACAGTGAGAGGCCCGCATAACGCAAGAAAAAAAAAAAAAAAAAAAAAACAACAACAACAAAAAAAAACGTACGGGGACTTCCCTGGTGGTCCATTGGTTAAGACTCCACGCTCCTAATTGCAGGGGCGCTGGGTTCGATCCCTGGTTGGGGAACTAGATCCCACATGTGGCAACTAAGAGTTTGCATGCCACAACTAAAAGATCCTGCATGTGGCAATGAAGATCCCACGTGCTACAACTAAGACCCGGTGCAGCCAAATAAATAAATATTAAAATAAATAGATAAAAATAAAATTGTACAATTCAGTAGTGTTTAGTACATTCACCATGTTCTGCCACCATCACCACTGTCTAAACCCCCAAAAGAAGCCCCATCCCCATCAGCAGTCCCCCCCATCCCCGCCCCCAGCCCCTGACAGCCAGGAACCCACTCTCTGTGTCTGTGGATCTGCCTGTTCTGGACGTTTCCCATTAATGGAATCACACCCTGTGTGTCCTTCTGTGTCTGGCTTCTCTCACTGAGCATCGTGTTCTCAGGGTCCATCCACTTTGTGTCATGTATCAAAACTTCATTCCTTTTCATGGCCTAATAACATAGGAACTGGTTCTTAATCCTGACACAACATTTTAATCATTGATGGAGCTTTAGAAAAAGTACCCATAAAAGTTAAGTGTTTATATAATGTTGCATCTGGCCGGGAGGACATTGACAAGCCACATCTCCCTCACAGGAGTCACCAGTTGTCAAACCCCTGCTGTGTGTCAGGTGTGTAGCACCTCGTCTCCCATTCTTCAGAGGAGGGGTTTTTATCCTGAACCCACAGGCCCAGGTGCAGAGCGTGTTACCTGCCTGGCTCCAGAAAGCCTGTTTACTTTCTGATACATGGGCCTCATCCTGCCAAACCCTATCAAAGTCTTGGTATCTGTTATCTATTTCCGCATAACAAAGTGCCACGAACTCAGAGGCTTAAAACAATACACTGGTTACTTCCTAGTTTCTATGGGTCAGAAACCAGCAGGGCCTCTGCTCGAGGTCTCAGCCAAGGCCACGTTCTCATCTGCCCACAGGTCGCTGGCAGAGTTCAGTCCTTATGTTGTGGGTTGAGGCCTGGCCTCCCTCAGCTCTGCACCACCAAGGCCTCCTGTGTTCATTTCCTGGGGCTGCCATAACAAATTACTACAGACTCGGTGGCCTAAATGAACACATATTGACTCTCTTGTAGTTCTAGAAGCCAGAAGCATGAAATCAGTTTGTCCAGTCCCAAAGCAAGGTGTCACAGGGCAGAGCTCCCACCAGAGGCTCCAGAGGGGAAGCCTTCCTGTCTCCCCCAGCTTCTGGGGGCTGCGGTGTCCTGGGCTTGTGGCCGCATCACCCCAGTCTCTGCCTCTGTCTTCACGTGGCCTCTCCCCTTTTGTCTGTGTTGAATCTCCCTCTCCCTCCTTCTTATAACAGCCCTTGTGATGACACTGGACCCCCCGCCTCGGGTGAGCCAGGATCATCCCCATCTCAAGGTCCTTAATTTAAGCCCACCTGCAAAGTCCCTTTTGCCATATAAAGTACCATACTCACAGGTTCCAGAGATTAAGACATGGACATCTCTGGGGATCCATAGTTAGTCTTCCACAACCACCCCCCTCCCCCCCACGGCCACTTGCTTCCTCAAAGGCAAGCAGGGGAGAGAGAATCTAGAGGGAGTCAGCTAGTAGGACAGAATCTTAGGTACCATGATGGAATCTTGGGAATGGCAGTCATCACCTATACTGTTGGTTAGAAGTGAGTCGCAGGTCTTGTCCACACCTAACGGGAGGGGATTATGCAGGGCATGACCACCAGGAGGTGGGGGTTATTGGGGTGCCTTATAGCCTTCCACCACAGGCTTGAGCTTGGCCAAGTCTTCCAGCCAACCAGAGGGACCTGACTGCCTAGCCTCGCAGCCTCCATAAAGGGCTGTCACATTCAAAAGTGAATCAGCAGGTCCCAGGTCTGGCAGGAGTCCTGGCATCTTGGGTCTTCACTGACCCTCCCCCCTCCCCCAACCTGGCTCACCTCCACATGGGTCCCAATTTACATCAATCCATTTGAGCAAGAATTCTTCAGAAAGGAGAGAGAAAAATCCCAGCATCCTTCTAAGGCTTTACAAATCTTCTAGAACGTGCTTTTAGCAAAATCTTAAAGCTTCACGGTGCCAGTTAAGCCTGTTTCCTCCTTGTCGGTGATTAGCAAGGATTGGCTGGTAGCCCCCAGATCCGAGGGGAGGATTAAGTGGGCCCCACCTGGGCCAAAATCATTTGAGAATCCTTATCACTGGTACCTGCATCCCGCCCCCATAAACTGACAATTCACCTAGGATGGATTGTCCGCAGGGGTAACCCTGCCTTCCCAGGGGAAACCCTGCCTTCCCAGGGGAAACTGGGCGATATCTGGAGATATTTTTGGATGTCAGGACTGAGGGATGCTCCTGACATCAAGTGGGTAGGGACCAGGGATGCTGCTGAACACCCCACAGAGTTTGAGAACTACTGGTCCAGTCTATGTAGTCTCCTGAATTTTTAAGCCAGCCCCCTACTGGTTCTGCATTTTGTTTGTTTGTTTGTTTGCTGTACGCGGGCCTCTCACTGTTGTGGCCTCTCCCGTTGCGGAGCACAGGCTCCGGACGCGCAGGCCCAGCGGCCACGACTCACGGGCCCAGCCGCTCCGCGGCATGCGGGAGCCTCCCGGACCGGGGCACGAACCCGTGTCCCCTGCATCGGCAGGCGGACTCCCAACCACTGCGCCACCAGAGAAGCCCTGGTTCTGCATTTTAAACAAGCATCTCAGGGAATTGGGACACACCTGTTTGGAGAAGCCCACGTTGAGAGGCACTGGTGAGCATAGGAA